TATATATATATATATGTAAGTGAAACCTTTAGTCATGAGCAAGAAATATACACAAAAGAATATTCAAGATGTTATAAGTGTATATAAAACAAGTTCACAAAGCTAGTTCACAAAGAGGGAAATATTGTGATTATCCAAAATGTTAGCAATAGGAAAAGCAGCGGGAAGATGGTGAAAAGTCTCTGTGTTATCTGCAAGTTTTCTTCAGAGTTTCTACATATTATATTTGATAATATAATCTCTACAAATTATATTTGAATTTTAAAAATTAAATGACATAGTATTTTATTTTATATGAGCAGTAAATAGTCGAATGCAGTGTAGTGCCAGGAGTTGGCAGCACAAGAAAGATAACAGTGGAAACACTGCTACTGTGCTGGTGGAAATGTGGCCTGGTGGAATCATCCTGTATCACATTTTGGCTATAAATATTTATATTGAATGTTTTATACATTGCAGATAAGCAGCTGTGCTCTCTGGTAAATTTCCCAAATTAATCTTCAGAGACCCATAATGAAGACGTACACTTCAGCATTGGTTGTGCTGAAGAACTGGAAGCAGTCCAGATGTTCATTAATGGGAGAATGGAAGCAGTAAATTTTATAATTTTATATTGTCTTGGCATACATTGTCTAAGTTTAATTTTCACATACTAAAAGGATGTGTTCACCTTTAATAGAGTTTACAATTTTCTATCGCCTCCCAATTTTTAAATGTGGCGGATCATGTGTCTACCTTACACAAGAGGCCTTCTAGTGACCTCTTTCCAATGAAACATAGAAATTCAGCTTGACTCCTCCTGTTGACTGCACATCCCACATGGACAGGGCAGATATATTTCAGTGGCAACTGTGAGTCATAGTATAACTCTTTGGAACTCACCCCTGCTTGCTCTACCCACTAATTTGAACTTCCATGGGAAACCTGCTTGTGTAAATCTGGACTTCAACAAAGGACATGACACATAAGTCTTCTCTCTTCTACTTCCTATCCATTGATTGAGCACCCTGATATCTCCATACTTGCCTTCAGTCACCATCAATATATGTCTCCTCTCACAGACCTATAAGCAATAAACTCGTTATTTCAGGTGTTTTGTTGTGTTGCCTCTTTTTTTTGTCTCACTTGATGGAGATACACAGAACTTGATTTTCTTTCTCATTAGGGCTCTCCTGCAGAGTGACTACCTTGACAAGAATAAAGTGGACCCAAATCAGACAAGAACATAGGGCATACTGTTAGTACAAATAAGTCTCCTGTGAGATGGACAAGTGGTCATGGGGCATGAGGCCGTCCATCAGAATAAAATATATCACTATAAACATCATGACCACCTTCCCCTTCAGCCATCACAATGCAGAGCTAGAGTTTATAGCCACTCAGTAGAGACAAATCTCAAGAAGAAATTAGAAAAACTAAAATAATGAACATGCAAAATACTTATAGCATACACAAAATTTAACTCAATGTGGATCAGACACAATGTAAAAGCTAAAAGTATGACTTTCTAAAAGAAAACATCTTTGTGACTGTCACACATACATTAAAACATGAATCATAAAATGTCAATAAACTATTATAACAATTTGTAAAAAGGTTTTTCTCTAAATATACCTGAAAAGGTGAGAAGACAAGGCAAGAAGATTGGAAAAATACATACCATACCATTTCTTCTGTTGCCCTTGAGATTTTAATTTTTTTCTGAGAAAAAAACACTTCACATAATAAATTTTAAGATTAATAATGCATTCCATAAAAGATTATCTATTTCAGAGAAGGCAAACCAAAAGATCAGTGAGCACTCAGGCATATGCAATGATTTATTGAACACATGTAGGAGATGGGAGACTGCAGAAGAAGCAGTTCTACTATGAAGCCTGAGGTCTAAAATATTAACCATACACATGTACAAAAGTCATTATGAATTCAGATGTTTATTTTTATAATAATCACAATAAAAACTAAGCATTCTAAATAGGAAGTGGTTTAAATATAACATAGCTGTTTAAAAGATTTTACATATTTACATATTGATTTAGAAATATTATGACATTTTATAATAAGAGTTTATCAATCATTATGTATGGTGTTATAACAATATATTTTAAAATGTATACACTTGAATAAAAACCATCAAGAAGTACATTTATAAATAGTACAATATATATTCCAATGAATTAATGGTTTATTTAAAAAACTTTTCTTAATATCCAATTTAGAATTTTTTACAAGTAATATGTAACCTCTTTATATAATATGTATTTTTTTGAAATGTGCATATATAGAGAGAAAGGGGAATGGCTGTTGACTAAGCTTCAGGACTACAAAATATGGCACTAATGAAATTTTTGTCATAAATTCCAACTTTATAATGAAAGAGAAGAAATGCACAACATTTAAAAAGAAGCAAAACCTCTCATCCGTGTGTATGCATGTGTGAATATTATAACTGAATCATTAATCCAAAGCCATATAAAATATTCCCCTCTCCCATTACTCAGTAATTGCTCATTCATGTCATCATTAGAACGTGTACTTTGTTTTACTTCAAAATAGAAGGAAACAGTCTAATTTTACCCCTTTTTGACCTCAGAGACTTTTTAAAAATGGTGGAACATTACCCGAAAATGAATCAAACATTGGAATCACAAATATTTGAGCTTATACACACTTTGGTTTGAGCTGTTCATGTACCATTCATCTTTATACTGTCTCATAGACACAAGAAGCATCCCTGCCCAGCTACAAAATTTTTTTGCTAAAATCATTATGTATAAGTACAGAGAATTAATACAAACATTTTCAATGATGGAATAGAAGAATATCTGAGGGTTTTCTCATTAGTAGATTATGGTCATATATTCTTATTTATCAGATAAATATACACAAACCCACAGTAGAGACACAAAGCATTTGCATTGAGAGGCAAATGAGGGAGCTGACAGAAAATTATTAATTTGAATCACAGTATCACCATTTTTTAAGTAACTTCAAGAAAATTAATTTTTCTTAAATTTAGTGTCAACTGATGGTAAACTAGTGTACATGTGTTAAAACCAACTTTTATTTCACAGAAATTTCTAAAAGATGTCTTAACACTTGAATTGGAGGAAGGAAGGCCAGTATCTATACGAGCAAGATATCTTACATTTTGCAGAATTATATTTGAGGAACATAAGAATTGAAAAATGTGAAGGAGTCCTGGGAAGAAATCACACTCACTCCTCTGCCAATCTAAAGCATAATAACATGATTTTTAATTCGTGTGGGTACTTAACGTTTAAACATGGTTTTTAAATACATTTTTCTCTGAAAAAATTCTTTTGACAGTGTCTTCTTCAGCACTGCCTTCATGGCTTCATTTCGCAAACTATAGATAATTGGATTGAGTGTTGGAGGTACCACAGTATAGAATATTGAGAACATGAGGTCTATAGCTGATGGGGAATCTGAAGGGGGCCTTAGAAACTCAAAGCCTGCTGTTGAGAGGAAGAAGGTGACTACAAATACATGTGGTAGGCAGGTGGAGAAGACCTTGGTCTGACTCTCTACTGATGGGATTCTCAGTACTGTTGAGAAGATGCGAATGTAGGAGAACACAATGGAAATCAAACAGATAAATGCTGCCAAGGTTGTGAATGCAGCCACTGCAATTTCATTAATGAATTCATGAGAACAGGCTAGTCTCAACATTTGAGGAACATCACAGAAGAACTGGTGAATAACTCTCTCCCCACAGAGAGGAATGGAGAAGTTAACTACTGTGTGCATGAGCCCACAGATGCCGCCCACCACCCACACAGCTGTCACTGAATGCTGACAAGTACTGGGATTCATAATAGTCCCATACTGTAGTGGTTGACAGATGGCTACGTACCGATCATAAGACATTACTGTAAGGATTGCCACTTCTGATGAGGCTAGAGCTATGAAGAAGAAAACCTGAAGAATACACTGACCAAGGGAAATGTAATTATTGTCTGTAAGTGAGTTTGCAATGGACTGTGGGACTGTGACAGAGATGATGCAGATGTCCAGAAGAGAGAGGTACTTCAAAAAGTAATACATGGGAGAATGCAGATGATGGTCTAAGGTAATGATGGTAATAATGAGGATGTTACCTGTTAAGGCCAGCAGGTATATTACCAAAAAGAGTAGCGCGTGTACAATCTGAAGCTTACGGTCATCAGAAAAACCCATGAGGAGGAAGCCATTCTTTGAGGTCAAGTTGACCATACTCTGAAAGTACCAAATTTAATTCTGTTTAAGAAGAGTTGGAAAAGAATGTGTGATATTTAATATGTTTGCATGTCAACTAAATCAGCATCCATACCCCAGAAATATTAATATCAAGAAGAATTTTTCATTATTGCAATTAGTTAACATTTAATTCAGAAAAAAGTTAGCTATTATTCAGAAATAGAGACCTTGAATGTAATCAACTAATCATGAGAATTTCCTGGAAAAGAGTTTAGGTTGTCAAAGTTGGAGAAATTGGTGGAAATGATAAAGTCTTGGCCTTGAATAAAGTTTGTGAAAATGATACTGATATACTAAAATGAAGTTAATGATATGACCTTGTAAATGGATCTAAGAACAACCTAGAGACAAATGTAGGATGGATGTCAGATCAGTCGTATTTCTTGCCTCTGAAATGCTCTTAACATTTAAAAAAGATTTGGTTGGAATGAGCTTTCCCGAAAAATCTTGAAGAGTGTAATAAATGTCAAAATTGTAACAACACATTGCATTCCATAAATAAATAGTTAATTGTGTCAAGAAAAAATTTGTAAAATTCATGTGCCAGGAAAACCAGGCAATGAATCACGAACTTTGGACACTGACAGATCTTGCAACTGAGTGGCAGTACCTTGTCCTTAGAGAATACTTTAAAAGCCCTTAGGAGGACATGGGCTATTTTTTTCCATTAAATTCATTTAAGCAAAAAATAAAATTTTCTGAAATGTATTTATTATTTTCTATGTGATAAGTAGAATGGTGGTGTTTATACATTTCCACTATTATCCCTCATTGTTGTTTCTTCAAAGAGAGAAAAAAAACATTTATTTTCTCCTTCTAGTATAGGAGTCTATTTTAAAAATAAGCAGCCAACTAAACAAACATTGATAGCAGGTGTAACGTAATTGTCCTGTTTGAGTAATGCTACTTTTTCTACTCTAATTTAAATGTGTTTGTATTATAGAAGTCTGAGTACCAGAATCACTCTAGTTCAGTTTTGTTTTGTTTCATTTTGTTTTAAATTTGTTGAAAATTCAGTAAGTATCCTTATCACTGAATTGACCAACAGGAATATTCTTCATCTCAATCCTTTTCTCCAACCTCAACAATGGTGCCTAATATATAGGCACTAAATAACTATTTACTTAATTAATTATATGTTTGATTTCAATTCCATACAGACAACTTAGCAATCAAATTACATGAGTTATTCTATCAGATATTGTGATTTCTTCCATTTATTAATCTCTAACTAAAGTGAAATTATTAAAAATCACTTGTACTGGTATATTACTGTTTTTGCTGTGATTTATTTAGAGAACTCACTAAAAATAATTAAGTAATTTTAAGGAGACATACTTTTCCACAAGGAAATCTTAGAACAAAAAGTTCCCTAAATTCATCGCCTATGACCCCAGGGTCCATCTTGTTCAAAATGGCAACAGGGATTTGAGGGAGGTAGGGCTTCTATTCTTCAAAGAGCTTCTTGTTCTTACTATTTTCCTGTTCTTCCATTAAGCATGAAAAACTACTGCTAACACATGGCTTAACCTGTTCCAAACATTGGATGGTAGGTTTGGAATTTAAAATAAAATACAAATATGTTAAGGCAATTCACTTATATTTAAAATTGTCACTGGCTTTTAAACCAAAAGCATTATCTTCTTCTTTTTCCCTCTACACAAAATATTTCTTCATAGGAGGAGGAATGGGGAAGACTATCAGAAAAAAATTTAATACAACACAGACACACACACACGTGCATGCATAATAATCTGCCCTCAGCAGCTCACATCAATATATTTTAATATTTTTCCTTTTTGAAGTAGAATATAATTTTTATATCTTGATTAAGAAGGGGATAATTTTAAGGGCCAGGGATTTAGGTCAGTGGCATGGTACCTGTCTTGCGAGCGCAAAGTCCTGAGTTCGATCCCAGGTACCAGAAAAACAAAAACAACAACAAAAAAATAAGAACTGGATAATTTTATTATTTAAATTTCATTATTTGCCAGTTGTGTTGATTCTCAAATAGGAAGGAAGGAGAATATGTATTGTGAGACCATATTATACTTGCATTCAATCCTTTAAAGTCATCTTGTATTAAATCTTTTATTTTGTAACAGAACTAAATTTATTGCAGAGCATAGTGATTCTTTCAATGCTATTTGCTTCCCTAAATATTTTTTCCTCCACTAACCACACATACACAAATTTTATTTTATTCTACAAAATATTTCTAAACTTTTTCCGTCTGTTTTTGACCTCTCAACTGTTGAAATCCTGTATTTTCCTAGAAGTCATTCTCCTACTTTCTGTAAGTCAGCTCTTCTAATTCCTTACAGAACCTCATCTGCAAATTTAGTATCCATCATGTTATCTCTTGGGATGAATGACAAAATGTAGATAATTAGTTGTCAAATCTCTCAATTTTTTACCTACATAGAGGTGAAACTATATCTTTTTTCCTTTCCAAACCAGTGACTATCCTTGTTCTCACCACTCTATCTCAAATGGCTGCTTCACTATTATACACTAATTCTCCCTCTCTCCTTCCTTCCCTTCTTTCTCTCTCTTACTACATACTGCTTTTTTATACATATGTGTATATAAATAAAAACTCATGTGAAACTTGATTTACTGAGTTTATTTTCAATGAGCCAATTATATTGATCGCTATATTGTTTATATATGAACACACAAAATAAATATCTATATATAAGATATAGATTTGTTTTAAATCTCACCCACTTAAGAAATGAAAAGCACTTACTCCACAGTTAATACTTACATATAGTCTCCTTTCTCTTTATTACCATGCTTCTGAGTAGAATAACCTACAATTCTGTGTATTTTTTGACATTTCATTCATTTTGTGAACCATGGTTATTATGCTTATCCCATGAGTTTACCCAGTCCTCTCTACCAAACCCATAGATCACTGTACCAATGGTAAATTCAGTGTGCTCTTGTTACTTCATCATTATTTAAGACTACCTTTCTCAATAAATGACATATTACACAATTTTTCTTCTAAAACTTCTCTCTTCCATAGGCTCTAAGCCACTCGCTGTTGTGTGTGTGTGTGAGTGGTAAATATTCTTTCTTAGTTTCTATTCTTATCTAGTTCCTTTTCTGCACATTTATTGAACTTTGATCATATTAAAATAACCTGTCCTCAGATTTCCTTTCTTCATGTTTTACTAAAATAATTCTTGTAATTGACATTTAAAGGAGATAGTTTAAAAGCTTTTCTACACATTTACACATTTTCACTAAACTGAGAGAGTTGAAAGCACTACCATAGGTCTTCTGAGTGCATGATTCTCATATCCAGCTCCACAGTCAGCTACCTCCAACTGTGGCTTTCTCTTTATAGCACATCTCTTTTTTCAACTATCTTCCTATCACTGTTATCTATATCAAAGAAGGCACAACTTCTCTTTCATCTGCTGTCAAATCAAACATCAAATTTTATGGGCTATCTCTTGTGATTATTACTTTTATTACACTAATAGATTAATGGAAACCATCATCTCTGGCAATATTTTATATGTTAGCTTTATGTAATTCCAATTCAACCTTCATACGGTTGCTAGGATGATCAATGACGCAAATGACATCTTGCAACATTCTTAATTTTGCTTGTAACTCTGTTGATTTTTATTATGATATAATGTCCAAAATCTTAGGATAGCAAACAGTATGTTCCACAATAGATTGACTGGTTACCTTCCCTGTATTCTCTCATGTATTCTCCAACACCATGTCAAACTCCACATGCAATAATGCAAAATTACTTTGATTACCTTCAATTAACCAATCACAGTGTATCATTATGCTGTTCTGGGTTTTTCTTTTTTTTTTCCAGTCATACATTTTCTTTTGCCTGGAATTTCTCCCAATAGTCTCTCTCCTCGTTTCCTTGACAAATATTTAATTATTATTTGAAACAGATTATTTCTTCTTATTTAAAATGTTCTAGGGCCGGGGATTTAGCTCAGTGGTTCCGCTGCCTGCCTTGCAAGCACAAGGACCCGAGTTCATCCCTGGTACCAAAAAATAAAATAAAATAAAATAAAATAAAATAAAATAAAATATTCTGAGTTTGTCAACCCAAGTAAGATTGATCCTTCTTTGGAGCCCAGATTGAATTCATTAAGATCTCTTAAAAATAATTTGATTTTATTATATTCACTTATATGCACATATTCCCCAGTCTATTTAAACTATTCTTAATTTCAGGGTAAGAAATTATATATCTTACTTGGAGTTATAGCTATGAAGATTGACATAAGCTATGACACTTTAGCAGGCATCACTTAAATGTCATACGAATCCTATAAAATTTGGAGAAGTCTCACTTACCAGAGTTTCTCTGAGTAGGAAAAAAAAAAATCTCAGTTGATTTGTGAAATTGGGTATCTTGGTCTAGAATCTAGCTGAGAAGTTTTTATGCAAGGAAAGAAGTATGATTTTTTTATATGAGATTGAACAGGTAGCATAGACCCAGGGATATTTTAAATTCTCATTAAGTCCATAATAACTGAAATGAAGGCAGCACTTTCCAGGCACTGGGGAATAATGTTTTCTGGGAAGTTGGTGGTTCAGATAAATATTAGAAATTCAAAGCATGGGGCTTTATTGAGTTATCCCTCAAGGAATTGCATCAGTGGAAAATAGTTAATTACTGTATTGTCTTGGTTTAACTAAATCTTGTAGTTTATGTATTCATAGAGAAAATGAATATTGTTCATAACTTGTTTACAATAAAGTTCACAGATTTCTGTACCAAGAATTTTTTCATTCACTAGTCATTACTAAAATCATGCATGTTTGTATAAGCCTCATGTAAGCTTCATCCAAAAACCATGTCTTTTCTAAAACAACTCAGAATTTGATATCAAGCCTTCATTTTAATAGTCCCCTAAATGTGTAACTTTCATTCAATGGAAATAAATTCAGTTTTTAAATACTTATGAGTGTGCAAGAGACATTTCTTTTATTTATTTATTTAGGTACTGGGGATCAAACTCGGCACCTTGCGCTTGCGAGGGAGGCGGAAGAAGCACTGAGCTAAATCCT